GTTAGCACAACTAATAATAGCAGCAAATACTTTTTTCATAAATTTTAAGCTTGCATTTTATTTTATAAAGGGAAAAATTTAATCAATCAAAAACTGATTAAAAACTCCAAAACTTACTTTTCATTCAAAAAGTCAAGAGTTGTTTGTGGTATATCTGATCGGGAGACAAGCACTTTGGGTCTTGACATTGTCGCAGATGATGTATAGAGGCTTCTGAAAGTTCAGAATGTTACAATGCTGTGTATGAATGCGATATTGCCAATTATATACGAAATAAAGCAGCTTAAATGACAACTTAACTTTTCCTAACCTAACAAAAGAGGGCTCACAGCAAAACATGTACTACTGTACTACTGTACAGTATATTAAACATTTAAGATTTACGCTTTCAGGATCAAGCTGCTAGCTTTTGCACCCTACCATTCTAACTGTCAGTCATCTAATGTACTGACTCCCAACCTATTTTACTCAGTTATATCTACTACATATTTACACACACACACACACACAGTATGGTTTTTGATCTGGAAGATCCTGTGTAACGAATTTACTTGGTTTCTATGATCAAGCCACAGGGATTTTACAGGAGATGGTTGGGTTGACTGCATATATTTTAACCTAAAAAAAATGCTTTCGACAGAGTTCCACATAAGCGGCTGTTCTGGAAACTGGAACATATTGGAGGAGTGACACACACACAATTATGAGATTAATATCAGTGCCCATTAATTATGAGCAATGGTTTCAGTATATACAGGACTACTGTATATCACAAGGAGGCTTAATATACTGACAGTCATTCTGACTTTCATTCCTGCTGAAATAAATTTATTCTGCCAAGACCTCTGAGAAATGGATGCATCATCCTTGCAAGCGAATACAATGCACCTTGTTTGTTCAAAATAACTTTTCTTTGTTCCAATGTTTGTCTCCTATATATTCTCTAGGTACATGCTCTTAATATTAGCAAACTTATGTTTAACAAATTAACAAATAATGATGTAATTACATAATAAAAACCTTACACAAATGGCAAAATAGTGATTACAAAGTTTTTAATTTGTCAAACTTGCTAAGGACAAACTACAGTTAATACAAATACAGTACTGGGTAATTGGTACCAGGTATCATAATGAATTAACATCTATTTTATCCAACACAATTTCACCTCTAACGGGGGAAAGTGTACCCGACTACTAGGCTGAACCTTGACTGCCTCTCGGGTCATTATCACACTTAGACAATGAACTACCTCTTGGGTGGACCCATCTAATTACCCTAAGCTACCCAAATCTACTCAAAACTACCCAAAGCTTCGTAGCATTACGTAAGTAATGAAGAACTATGATATATTTACTTACTATAATGTTGGTGCTGAATGTAGAGCATGAAAAAAAAAACATATTTTTACTCAGAAATACTTTCACTTTATATCAATCTTCGGTCCATCTAATTACCCAAAGCCACAACAGTGTCGCTTGGAGAGTCGACTTCCTGTGGTGTCACCTGCCACTTGGTTTCGTCTAATTTCATTATAAAATGATACTATTTCATATAACTTTTTTTCATGTTCTACATTCAACACCAACATTATAGTAAGTAAATATATCATAGTTCTTCATTACAGTACTAATGTAATGCTGGGTAACTTTGAGTAGATTTGGGTAACTTTGGGTAATTAGACAGACCATCTTGGGTAGTTATGAAGCCAGGCCAGTAAACAACCTCTTGGGTCATAATCAAGCCAGGCCAGTGAACTACCTCTTGTGTCGTTACCAAGCCAGGCCAGTAAACAACCTCTTGGGTCATAATCAAGCCAGGCCAGTGAACTACCTCTTGGGTCATTATCAAGCCAGGCCAGTAAACAACCTCTTGGGTCATAATCAAGCCAGGCCAGTGAACTACCTCTTAGGTCGTTATCAAGCCAGGCCAGTAAACAACCTCTTGGGACATTATCAAGCCAGGCCGGTGAACTACCTCTTAGGTCGTTATCAAGCCAGGCCAGTAAACAACCTCTTGGGTCATTATCAAGCCAAGCCGGTGAACTACCTCTTGGGTCGTTATCAAGCCAGGGCCAGTGAACTACCTCTTGGGTTGTTATCAAGCCAGACCAGTCAACTACCTCTTGGGTCGTTATCAAGCCAGGCCGGTGAACTACCTCTTGGGTCGTTATCAAGCCAGACCAGTCAACTACCTCTTGGGTCGTTATCAAGACAGACCAGTCAACTACCTCTTGGGTCGTTATCAAGCCAGGCCGGTGAACTACCTCTTGGGTTGTTATCAAGCCAGACCAGTCAACTACCTCTTGGGTCGTTATCAAGCCAGACCAGTCAACTACCTCTTGGGTCGTTATCAAGCCAGGCCGGTGAACTACCTCTTGGGTCGTTATCAAGCCAGGCCGGTGAACTACCTCTTGGGTCGTTATCAAGTCAGACCAGTCAACTACCTCTTGGGTCGTTATCAAGCCAGGCCAGTGAACTACCTCTTGGGTCATTATCAAACCAGGCCAGTGAACCACCTCTTGGGTCGTTATCAAGCCAGGCCAGTGAACTACCTCTTGGGTCATTATCAAGCCAGGCCAGTGAACCACCTCTTGGGTCGTTATCAAGCCAGGCCAGTGAACTACCTCTTGCGTCATTATCAAGCCAGGCCAGTGAACCACCTCTTGGGTCGTTATCAAGCCAGGCCAGTGAACTACCTCTTGGGTCATTATCAAGCCAGGCCAGTGAACTACCTCTACAGTTAACACATCCAGAATATACCAACAACACCTGACCGTGTGTGTATTTACACCACCTGGCTACATCTACGGCTGCCTGCTGCTAGTGCCAGCTGGTGCCGGTCCCAGGTGGTGCCAGCTGGTACCAGGTGGTGCCAGCTTATATCACGTGGTACCGGTATCCCGAGGTACTGGTGCCAGGTGGTGCTTGCTTGTCCTAGGTGGTGCCAGATGTTACCAGGTGGTGCCAGTGCCAGGTAGTGCCAGCTTGTCAGGTGGTGGCTGATTGTGCTAGCATGTATCAGGTTGTGCCAGTGCCAGGTGGTACCAGTTGGTGCTAATACCAGGTGGTGCCAGTGCCAGGTAGTGCCAGCTTGTGTCAGGTGGTGGCTGATTGTGCTAGCATGTATCAGGTTGTGCCAGTGCCAGGTGGTACCAGTTGGTGCTAATACCAGGTGGTGCCAGTGCCAGGTGGTGGTGCTGGTGCCAGCTAGTGCCAGCTTGTACCAAGTGGTGCCAGCTAGTACCAGCTTGTACCAGCTGGTGTCAGCTAGTGCCAGCTTGTACCAGGTGGTGCCAGGTGGTGCCGGTGCCAGGTGGTGCCAGGTGGTGCCGGTGCCAGGTGGTGCCGGTGCCAGCTTTGTGCTACGTGAACTATGTACTAAAGAGTTGTCAAACTGTACCTGTTCAGAGTGTGAGGTAAGGATGGGAGACGCTTGAGGAAGGACTGGTTGTGGGAAGTGGCACTCGCAGCCTTGAAAAGGGTGGCGAGGGCTGCTGGCACCAGTGACACTCTGGCTGGCACTCCAGACATTAGGTAACATAAGGCTGTCTCCCAGCCCCTCCTGGCTCACCCCCGAACACTCACTCCAAAATGATCCCCAGAATCAGCACTCTGCCGTCACAATGACGTCACACTTTGTATACCATATTTACTTGCGTCCAGGAACGTGTATATGTATATACAAAAATGTATATTTTATTATTGTTCGGTAAGTTAACGTTAGTTAACAACAGGTTAAATTAGATTAGGTTAGGATAGAATATATATATGTTTACATATTGGATAAATGGTGTAATGTTTTTAGTTCCCCCTACAACACGGCGGCTCTCAAAGAAAACGGCTTAATGGCTCGCTGAGTTCAACCGCTTTGATCATTCGCCCAACCACTTACGAAACCTGTACATCTTTCCTCTAATAATAATAAATAATAATAATAATTTATTCATAATTAGGTACAATGGGTTGATGCGATTACATAACATTTGTATTTGTACATTCTTGCAAAGTCACTAACATGTATAGCGTTTCGGGCAGGTCCTTAATCTAACATATTAGGTAAGATGAATAGGTACATTATAATAATAATAATAATAATAATAATAATAATAATAATAAATTATTTAGTTAAAGTCCATACATAGTTGCAGAGTTACAGTGAAAACATTCTGTTTGATTTAAAGATGGAGGTAGTACATACAATGCCTAAAGCCACTAGTACGCACAGCGTTTTGGGTTTCGGGCATTGTAGCAAGGTTTTATCTCAAGAAATAACTACAATATAAATTGACAGAGGTAATTACACTGGTGAAGATATATGTCTTAAGCACTAATATTGGGGAAGTGGGTAGTACAAGATACAGTGTGAGTTTGAAGCACAAGGTATTACGAAACTATAAGGATGAAAGTAAATACTTTTTTATTTTACTTTTGAACAGGACATGGGTTGGACAACTTTTTTAATTCATAAGGAAGTGAGTTCCAAAAGACTGGGCCTTTTTATTTGCATGGAGTGTTTGCACAGATTTAGTCTGACTGGAGATATCAAAGATATATTTATTTCTGGTGTGGTGTTCATGGGTTCTATTGCACTTATCAAGTTAAAGTTTCAGATCATGAATAGCAATTAGGAACAAGGTTTTGTACATATTATCTGTTAGATTAAGGATCTGCCAGATACGCTGCGCGTACTAGTGGCTTTACAAGATTGTAAATACCATGCTATGTATTCTCACAAACCCAATGTACCTTCTTGTATATAAATAAATAAAAAAATAAATAAATAAATGTCGATAGGACTTGGTTAAACCCCATGCACAGATACCGTATGTAAGATACGAATATATTAGTGCGTAGTATAATGAGAGGAGAGCAGAGTGGAGGGACATAATATCGGATTTTAGAGTATACCGACCATTTTTTAGACTTTTTGCTGTGTTGTATGTGGGTGCTGAAGTTCAGTCCCTTGTTTTTGTGCGTTGGGTGGATCAAAACACCATAGGCAATATAACTTTTTATTATTTTAAATGTTACTAATATATTTCCAACTGCAAGTTGTGTGAGATTGCTGCAACTGCAGATGCTAGTACAGTAATTTGCAACTGAAGCTGCTGAGATGTTTTGCAGCTTTTCAGTTGCTAGTAAGTTACAACTGCGAGTTGCAGCCTACGGTGTGCATGTGTAGGGATACATGTTAAGTGACCTTAATATCTGTACTGTACTTGTATACCTATTCTACGTAAGTAGGAGCACATGCACCTGCACATAGTAGTGCATAAATCAAGTATACAAAGTTAGAGAATTCATAACTGAATTATAAATGGTGCACCTAACAATTATAATGAAGGATGTATATCGCCTATGCACCAGTACTCGTAAACAATTAACATTACTAATTACCAATAATTACCCACTTACTTTGTGTCTACCATTACCTTACATGTGTAAATGATGAGACAAGCTACATGTATACAGAAACACTGAAAAAAGAGTATGCATGCATACAGATATTCCTATTAAAAGAAGAAGTCATGGCAAGCATATCAGAGTTGACATAATAAAGTTTGTGTCGGGTGATGAGGAGGGGGTCCAGCAAAGCCCATCCCCCCTCCCCCTTTCCTCTTGCTCACCGTATGCATCGGGAAGTGGGCCTAAGAATGGCAGGGTTTTTGACGAGGAAGGCATGGCTTTGACCGCATGCAACATTGAATGGAGCTGGGGAACCGGCCACCTGCCTTTAAGTACATGGTCTACTGCATGCCACCCCCAGCTTACAATGAAATAAAAGCCTACGTCCTGTGCACCAATTTCACCCTTCGCCCCAAAAATTTGTGATACGCCTGGAGTCGCATTACAGCCATCTATGTATACGTCAAGGAACCTCCCCTCATTTTTATTGGTAAAGTTAATATTGTGTATCTGAGGATAAATGGGATTTGATGATTTACTATCAAATAAAATGTATAAGTTTTTTTTTGTTTAGTGTAAGTTTGTTAGTTGACATCCACAAGTGGACTTTTTAAATTCAGTGTTGACAATAATATTTAGTGTGTGGGGGGTTGGGGTCAGAATAGACAAAGTAGTACGTCTGCAAATAGTATAGGTTTAAGAATGTTAGAATATATTTCCTTTTCCTCTCCCCCAACATCTTCGTCTTCTATCCCACACTTCCCGCTCACCCAATCGGTATTATTTCCTGTATCAAGTACAGTATTAGCCTTAGACATATGCTTTTGATCATTGAAATACAGAGAGTAATTAAGGAGGAAAAATCTAAGTATTAACGTTATTAAACACTTGATGTTTATGAGAGTACATAGCATTGATGTTTTTACATCAATGGCAAGTAATTTCAAGTATAAGTTATATTTCAAGTACAGTATAAGAACCAAGATATATTTAAGATTTAACGATTTCCTGTAAAGTTGCAATGATACCTTTATTGCACTTTACCATCACGATTTACAGAGTTAAATTAACATATAAGATTGAAGTCACGTTTAATACACAAAACAGAAGTAAAGATATATTAATTATGATGCAGGATTGCTCTTAAAAAAACAAAAAACAAATTGACATCTGAAGGAAATCACTTTTCCAGAAAACACCAAAAAAATAATTTTCTAAACATTTGCCACTCAAATTTTTGTTTTTCAAGTGAGTTTGATCCAGGCTAGCTCCCTGAATCTGGTAATGTAAAATACAGAGGCTGTACAAATTTGTACAACTGTGTTATAATTACTGTAATGTTTCCCTTTCAAATTGTTTGCATCTCACTTATTTTCCATTTTAATATTTGTTAAAACTTTGTCTTTCATAATGGATATATTAATGGTGTTTAAATTAAAATAATAATAATAATAGTTTACAACAATTCAAGTATGTACTGTACATTAATTAAGTCAATTGAAAATACTCGACCAATACTGTGCTAAATTTTGAATTTGTATAATTGTAAACTTTTCCACAATTATGAATAATGATACAGTACTCAATTTTATTTCATACTATGGGCTAGTATAATGGTTTCCCATGTCTGGAAGTGGAAGTCTGTTGGGCTAAACAAGGTTCCCCAAGACCAATGACTGAACTTTCCCAGGATGCAACCCACAACATCTGACTAGCTCCCGGGTACTATTTACTGCTAGATGAAGGCACAGGTGTAAGGAAACATCACCAAATCTCTTGTCCTGCCTGTGAATCACACTCAGGTCTGTGCTACAGAGGTCAGATCGTTTCCATAAAGTCAGCGAGTCTAGGGCCATCGGAAGGGCTGGAGCCAGGGAGACAATATAGTGTTGGCAACGCTCCTGAACTGGGAGCGAGGGTAGGGCACCCGCGACCTCCAGTTGGCCAGGTACCTCTGCAACATCCCCGTCACCTCGATGTATCTGCAGAGTAAAAATTTACCTGTGAGCTCTACTTGTGAGTGGCTTTAATTGTAAAGTGGTGGTATTTGGTAAATAAATAAATAAATAAATATCAGTTATCAATTATTTTAAATTTAAAGTGCTCACCTGAAATAGATAGTTGAAACAATTTTTCAACAAAGGAAGTTACCTTCAAGACTGCAAGTTTAATAAAGAAAAACAATTTGACTATAAAACTCTTGAGTTTTATAATAATGTGGCAGCCCATCAGGCATGATGATGTAAAATTAAGAATGACATTTCACCTCATTAGTATATACTTAGCAGTGCCGGGAGTTGTGACATCATAGACAACAATACTAATTAATATATAACTGCATATAATCATGTTTAGTAAAGTACTGACGCAGTAAGAGAAGGGAAGATTTCTCTATGCTTCTTGCCAGACGTGTATGTGCCTGAAGCTGTGCACAATGTAATGTTAATCACACAAATAAAGCTAATCAAATTCAAAAGTTTATTCAGGTAAAGTACATACATACAAGGGGTGATACAAATATTGCTGAATTTATAGATAGAGCTAGTACATACAATGCCTAAAGCCACTATTACGCAAAGCGTTTCGGGCAGGAAAAACACTAAAGATTAAAACTTAATACTAAATACTTAATACTAATACGATGTGTATCAGGTGTGGTTCGATGTTTATCAGTTTGCTGATCATAATCAGCAAACCACAATGACAGACTGTGGTTTACAGCTTTTCTTAGTACCTTGTTTTTTTGCACTGCCAATAGTTTTCCCTGTTTATTTTCTTTAAAGTATGTATGTAGTATTAATAGTGGGTATATGAGATGCAGAAAAACATAATCCCTGTAAGAGTGTAGTTTGCTAAGATTACAAAATTAAGATACACAGTTTTACACAAATTTTGATTCCTACAATAGTAGAATGGTAGCATGCCCTCACGCACTTTAGACTTACTCAGTGGTGTTGGTGGGTATGGGATGGTCCTCGTACGGGTCCTTCTGGAGATCAAACAAGAGGGGTTGATGGCCATAGTGTTGAACAGTGTCACCATAACACTGGCAATAGGATTCCTCTCCCCAGCCACACTGTGTGCTTCCTTTAGGCCACTTGTGACCTGCTATATGCATCTTGTACACTTTCTTGTCTACTCCAGGAATATGTAAAGAAATACAGTACATAAGTAATGTACCAGTATATGCTTTTAGGTAAATCTGGAATATAAAAGCGAATAATCTTCACTCTAACATTTCAATGTTTAACTTTTCTGGGCAAGCCCCAGTGGCTCCCTGAAGCACTGAGATTGATTGCTCCATTTGTAATAGGTCACGTCAGATGCAAGAGTTGTGTTTGGCCTACCTGAGACCAGAGCCAGAACCTGACCCAAACCTCACACAAGTGCACAAGGTGAGTGACAATTCATCTCCCCACTGGCTGGTCAATTGTCACTAACTCAGAGGTGAATTTTGTATCTTACATTTGACACAAAAAGCCCAAAATTAGGCTTTAGTTATACTGTACTGCATAGTATTTCAAGGTTTGCAAACAGCTGTGAAAGAGACAATTTAAGCAAGGTGAGGACAGATGTGGGTGCTAACAATGTAGCACCCACATCTGTAGCATCGAGCATCAGTTTCTGGATCTTTCCACTCCAATTTATAGTCATCTAATGTAATAACTTCTGACACACTTGCTATTTTAAATAGGTTACATGAGAACAGGATCATTTTCACCCTCTAGTGAACCCCTGCTGGCTCCAGCAAGCCAGCTCCATGGAAGCAAGAGGGCTGGTGGCCCACTTGCTTCCATGGAGCTGTAGTCTTCCTGTAGCTTTTCCTGAGCTTCCATAGAGTAGTCTGCCCCGGGCACCCACGGCAGACTACTCTAACCACACTTTTTTCAAGGGCCATATTAATAAAACTTCTCTTTGTGAGCACTAAAGAGGTTCCATTTTATAATCCAGATGATGGATTTTGTTCACCGAGTAGATGGAATAACTACGCTCCAGATTTTGTGCATATGTATTATAAAATACGTACATAGAAAAGTAGGGTCAGGAAACGTATAAACTTTCCAAGCATGATTTCCCCCCTGTGTTTTCGCCAGTGCGCTCGCGGCTAACTACTCTCCACTTCACACACTCTTGCGGGTGGGCAATTACCTATATTAAACATTCATATGCATATGTCCGTGTAGAGAATTGTATTGCGATTCCAATGATACCAAAATTAGCGATGTAGGCAACTATAGGCTTCGCAACCATTAAGAAAGTGGAAACATTTTGTTGCTGTTTGGCGCTCTCGGCGAGTGATCTGCATAGTTTTTTATTTGGTGTTGATACTCCTTATGCTTGGGCGGCATTTTATAGGTATGCTCTTATAGACACTTTCATTGCGAACACAGTGATACCAAATTTAAATACGTGCGCCTTCAATTATTGTCAGGACAGTCAAAAGAGTGTACACTTTTTCGGTATTACCGCGTAGTTTCGCGAAGTGCCAAAAGCATCTGGGGTATTGTTTTTTTTTTGAGCGCCGAGAGCGCGAAAGTGTTAAATACCTTTTATAGTATGTATAGGCACTAGGTATTTTTTTTCCCACGGACCTAGTATGTACTCCGCCGGGCCATGTGTTCCCATTGTTTACCGTGAACTCGCGCGGCTAGCTTCAATTGTGAAGGATATTACTGTACTGTAATTGTGATCTTTTTAATTTACAAAATGCCAAAAGTTACCCAAAGGAAGCGCCTGACGGTTGCACAGAAGCTGGAGTTAATTAAGAAACTTGATAAAGGATATTCTCATGCACGAGCAGCAGCAGAGTTTAACATTCAACATAATTGTCAATAGTGAAGTAGAATTAGAACTCATGTGAATTAGTAGTAAGGCTAGCTGTTGTGTGAAGTGAGTGCCTGAAAATAAGTGTACTGTACATACAGTATGTACCCTGTATACAATATAAACAATATAAAACAAGCGCTGCAGAGGATGACGTAATCATCACAGCTTCGTAATCTTCAGCTTCATTAAAAGTAAGTCAATTTACCAATTTTATTATAGTATTACAAGATATTAATTGTTTTTTTTCAACAAAAGCTACATATTAGTCTCTGCAAATGTATATTCTATCGTCAGCAGAGAAAAGGTGAGCTCAAAATATTTCATCTTGGCTAGCTCTCAGTGACAAGGCTCGATCGCCATTGTTATGGCATGGCCGCCACAGCCTGTGTCGTAACATTAAAAGTACTGTAAGTCAATTTACCAATTTTATTATAGTATTACAAGATATTAATTGTTTTTTTCAACAAAAGCTACATATTAGTCTCTGCAAATGTATATTCTATCGTCAGCAGAGAAAAGGTGAGCTCAAAATATTTCGTCTTGGCTAGCTCTCAGTGACAAGGCTCGATCGCCATTGTTATGGCATGGCCGCCACAGCCTGTGTCGTAACATTAAAAATACATTACCTGCACTGTTCAGGGTAAATCAAAACACATCTCTAAAATTTTATTAAGACAATATTAACTCACTATAGTACTGTACCTTGAACAAGTCTGAGGGCATGAATGGCTTGAACACAGTGGTGGAGGAGGACCCGAGGGGGAGGCAGAGTGCCGTTCTTCAGCAGGTTGGCCACGCTCACTCCGTCCAGCTCCTGTTCACATATCAGAACTTCTAATAACAAAAAAAACTGTATTTTTCAGTTGCTGTAGTACGTATTGTTTAAACTGGATTTTTACATTCTTCGGAAAACTTGATACTTTTTCCAAACCAATTTGAGAAATTTAAGAATCTAAACAACATCTTACAATTTTGGTTACAGTACTGTACTGTAATTCAAATCAAGTTTATTTGAATTAAAACTTATAAAGTTACCCAATTATTTTTCTAAATGATTTTAAGCACATCAGTACTAATTCTGTCAAAGCCTAACTTCATTCTTAATGCTTCCCTATATTTTAAATTGTTTTATATATGACTAATTTATGATAATACTTTAACAAATTTGTATTCTAAAGTTTACAAGAGAAAACAGTAATAGTTAATAGTCTTAAAACATCAGGTATTACCAGCCAAAATGTATTTTTTGAAGTAGACTATGGATTTAAAATATTACTAAGCTGGTAATTGTTATTATGAAGCCTGAGCAATATATAAAGATACACGAAAGCAAACTATTAAGATCAACCAAAATAAGTCAGTAGAGGACGGCTACCGATGTGCATCAACAGGTATATGAGAGTACTGTATATTTGATCCTGGAATTGAATGTGAAGTAGGTAGTGGGTAGTACTGATCCTGGATTTACTCACAGTAGATGATGTTTACCTCTGGTATTGGACTTGAGGTAGATGCTAGTACAGTACTGTACTAGCATAGATGTATTCCACATCTGTTTAACATAGAACTAGTACACTTGGTCCTGGACTGCTTGTAGTGCAAGGTGCCTCTGGCCATTGCAGTCCTGCCTTTCATACACCGCTACTTACCTGTTTTTATTTTTATATTGCGTTATGAATATAAACGATACTTCTAGTATTTTTGGTAAAGGTATTTTATTGAACTGTATTGATATGCAAGAAAAACCTCTTCATATTTCTTGTGAGTATGGTGGAAATTCCTCAGATTCTAAACTTCTGATCCAAGACTTACCCTGTAGGGCAAGTTAGGGAGCAGCTGATGAAGAGGCGGGAGGCCAGCCAGGTGTAGGAGCGTGGGCATCATGTCGAGCAAGGAAGTGGGGTGGTCGACGGTGACCCCGGCAGGCAGGTGACCTGACCATCGGTAGATCCCTGGTACACGGATCCCGCCCTCAGCTCCACCCATAGCCTTACCCCCTGTGGGAAAAATGTTATTCTGTTCTGTAACTGGAATTCCTTTCAAACCATACAGTACTATAGTTGTACATGTATTAATTCTGCGTCATAATGAACATGATTGATGGTAAAACAAATGCTTCTTAATTGTATTTCATTACAGGTCTCAAAGGCAGCTATTGATAGAAAAAAATTTCTCATGATACTAGCTTCTTTATTATGAAGACCTTTTTGGGACATGAACACTTCATCAACTCTTGTGACTCACCTTTAAAGCGTCCATTATATCCTCCTGTACGCTGGCCGTCCGGGGCTATGGCCTCCAGGTGGGCGCCATGGTCAGACACGAAGTAAACAATGGTGTTGTTGTCAAGGTTGTGGCACGTGAGAGCATCCAGGATCTTCCCCACGCCAGCATCCATCTCCTCCACGTTATCCCCGTACCTGCGCATAAATCATCCCCTTTATTTTAACAGGAGACCTATTATTTGCCCATATACACACAATCACTTTGAAGATTTAGCGCCAATGATGCACAACAATTGGAACTCGATCCTCGTCTTTGCTCACCTGCCATGCCTGCTGCGTCCAGCCATGCTTGGTAGTGTGAACATGGGTGTATGGACGTGGGCGAAGGCGTGGTACAGGAAGAAGGGGCGACTGTCATTTGCGTGGTTAGAGATGAACTCAAGAGACTGATCAACAAGTCGCTGAGAGAGACCCTCCAGCACCAGTGGCTGCTCCACCACCACCTCATCCTGCATCACTAAACAGTTCAGGTGCTGCATCAACCATGGGGAGACCTAAGAAACCCACCACCACCAAACAATGTATTGTGGGTAATGCTGAAGACATAAGAATTTACAACATAAAAATGAGAAAATACCAATTAATGTTCAACGCATACCTGAAGCATACCTGGAGAGAGTTTTCGGAGTTCTTCTAGTCCCGAGCTTGTAATAACTTGGTCCAACAGGCTGACCTATAACACGTTACCAGGCCGTTGGGAGTCATGAGTACCTACTGGGGCCTGACACTAATATCTGGCTCACTCAATAGCTAGACAAGGGAAGTCTAAATATACAAGATCAACCCAGACATAAAATATAACACCCCAAAAAAAACAACTGCATAGAAAATAGTAATAAGTCTGATGCAGACTATATACACACTCTTAGTCTAGAACCAATCACCAGTTAGCAACATTCCCTCACCGCCAGATGGCAACCCTGACCACTCTGGATCCTAGCCAGTTGCCCCCATCAGACATATATAGTCTTAAGCAAAGGGAAGAAGGGTTGAAAAGCCCAACAAGTCATCTCATACTGCTGCTAGAAATCATAAATAAGAAACATATAACCTGAAGTCTCGCTTTCATCTTGTGTTAGCACTGTTACTTTACTGACCTTTTGAGTGGTTTGTCGTCTTCAGCAGGATGAGCAGTTACCAACATGTCCTCCCATTCATTTTGCAGGCTGTTCAGATGTCTCAGGTGTTCTCCACTTTAGTGTGGACACACTGACTTCTGTTCTTTGTTACAGTGATCTCAATTGTGAAGTGTGTATAGTAGCTGTTTTTGCCTAATCCGATTCTAATCCTAATCTAATCTAATCTAATCTAATCCTAATCCTAATCCCTACCCCTCAGGTTTTGAGTATTTTCCATTCTCTCTGACTGGGTTCCTTCTTCTGGATCGATATTCCTTTTTGATAGCTAGTTCCTCCTTACTTTGTGAGCCTTGGGGCTCTGTATTCATTCCTGCTCATCTTCAGTGGCTCTGCCTGTCTGAGGATTTGCCCAATCCCATTCCTTGATGGTTCAGGCTTTTCAGTTGTCTTTCGAGTGTGGCCATTTTGTCTACACCTCTTCAGTGGCGTGTGTTCAGGCTTGTATCGAGGTCCCCCACCTAGGATGAACAACTGACCTTCCCTTGGATGCAACCCACAACAGTCACCTAACTCCTAGGTACCTATTTACAAATGCAGCTGGTGAAAAGAAATGTACTCAAACATTTCTGTCCCAACTGGGGATCGAACCCAGGATTCCAGACCGAGTCGGGAATGTAGACCACCATACTACAGAATCTAGTATATATACCATGCATACTCCACAAATTAAAACCTTACACGCCACCACCATTGGGTGTGCAAGCGGTAGTGTGTCAGAAGGAACCAGAGGACAGCGGCCACCAGCACGACCACCACCAGGGGAATCACGGTGACGAGGCATCGGCACTTGCACCGCCACCAACCCACAAGGATCACCAACATGCTTGCCAGACAGCCTCCAGTTAAGCCCTGAATACAGAATTAATGTTAATGTCCAGTAAAAACTTTAAGAGCAATATATTTGCTTTTTAAATTCATACATAAATTAATTATTGATCAAAATGCATTTTATAAAATGCTTTTCATGTGGTGCATACAAATATAATTAAAATTTACTGACAATTTTCAATGCCACCTTTTTGGGTCTACAAATGTTTTGATCAGGCATACAAGTCATAACAAATAAAATAACACAATCTAAAACTGTCATTTAGACAAAGTCTGATCAAATTATAAATACAGTATACATAAAAATAATATATTACAGATCAAAAGACTAGTTCCTGTAAAGAATTTTAGTCAATGTCAATTTTCTATGGAATAAAATATTATAACTTTCCCTGCAAAAAAAAATATTAATACCCAGTAATTAGCATAATTACAACCAAGTTGTTTGCTTCTCTCAGTACAAATTATTGACCTCACCTGGTAGAAAGGATCATCTAGAGGGAATATCCAGAAAGGATGGGAGCCAGCTGCGTCAGATATCAGTGATAACGGCAGACCGTAGAAATACTGGAAGCCGTGACGTTTGGGTCCCAGACACCCTCGCCCGAACGCTCCACACATCTGACCCAAATGCCACTTACCTGAAATGGTTATGTTATGTTATGGAATTCATAATGCCAGCAAGTGGTGAAGAAAAATGGCTGAGTACAATATATTCTATAAATATAGGACATGGTCCTGGTTGTACAGTCGGGTTCGTTCTCGACGCACAATTGAGAATTCCGGGTCCGAATCCTGGGCGGGACAGAAATAGTTGGGGCACATTTCCTTTCAACTAATGCCTCTGTTCACCTGGCAGCAAGTAGGTACTCGGGAGTTGGTCAGCTTGTTGTGGGGTTGCATCCTGGGCGGGGTCAGTAATTTGGCCTTGAGGGGTAAGACCTTGATATAAGTCTACCGTGTACGAATACACTCTGGCTTCCTGTCCTCCGACACACTGAATGAACTATTAAATATTTTGGGAATATTATATACCAACTGTAATTTAAAATAAAGCCTCAAGTGTAAAGTAATGTAGAGTAATGATCATAACATTACTCTACAATACTATAAATCATTTGAACTTTGAACATTTCCTGATAACCTGTCCATAAATGTGGTGATCTCACTGAAATCAACAACTTTAGACAATATCAGTTCTGCCTACCTTGTCCAAAATATTTTAAAAGCTAACGTACAAGTAGTTTTACTTCTACCTAGCTAAACATAACGTCCAGTACAGTATTGTATTCAGTTCTTGCCATTAGTTCCATTTAGTTCTTGCTGTATGATTTCAGACCACAAAATAAGCACCAACGAATCTTTACTTAATATGCTGGACTTGATACATGTGACTCTTATCAACAATGAGTACAGAGTGCCACAGGCTTTCCGAACCCCTTGGGTACTGAGACTGAACGAAGAATCTATTGTACACACATAAGTGGTTCTTCATTCTGAAAAGCTAGAGAAAAAATTGACAGTTTTGTTGCAGAAATTTGACAGTATTCTGTTTGTACTCACCAATATGATAAGTTCTGATTCACTTGCTAACCTGAAGATTATAGTTGATGGAACATTGTTACTTAGATGGAAAAGGTGGTGGTGGATGCTGATAGTGTTGGGTTGACTGAAGTGGAGATTAATGGTGATGAGGCAACCTCAGCAGACTGCCTTTCACTGTGTACTCAATTGTAGTTCATGCCATGGCAGAGTTTCAAGCTTCCGAGCCATCCATTAGTGTATGAACAGTGCTTAAGTAGCACCAAGTACGGTCACTGGGCAATCTAGTTCTCTCTTTATTGCACATTTTTATTCAGACTGCCTGCCCACCAGTTAATCAAACTTTTTTATTTGGAGAAACCCAAAATGGGTAACAGGCATATTCAGATAAGTGACGCCTGGAAAGCATGTGTTGTCTATATTCCATAGGTCTATTTGGTGACCTGCACAAGGCATTTGACATTTAACCACAATAACCTTCTCAAACTGCAACACTTTGGAATCAGGAATCACTCCCTACAATACTTTTGATTTTACCTCAGTGACAGGTACCAGTATGTTTCTGTGAACGATGCTACTTCATCCACATTGTCAATTAACACTGGTATTCCACAGGGTAGTATACTTGGTCCACTTCTCTTTCTTATTTATGTCAACGTCCTACCAAATGCATCACAACACCTGAAACCAATTCTTGTTGCTGATGACACAACCTTCATTTTCTCAAATATTAACCCACTTATTTCAATTGACAGCTGAACTAAAAAAAAAAAATTGTGGCTGCTAATAAACCTTTGACATTGAAAATCCTATTACATAGTGTTTGGAAACATGACAATCAAACTGAACTATGCCACTGATACCACACAGACCTTGAACTAAACCTTTTATTTATGACAGTCATCACTTTAATGGTCAAAATTGCAAATAATTATACAGCAAGCCTTGCCAACAATGTACTGTACAATGTATCGGTAATTAAATTAACACTATGATGACATTAGTGCCTTACTGTAATCACTACTATAAATTCTCCTTTGTTATACAGTATTAACAAAAACAAGGCTAAACGACAGCTCTACCCAACTATATTTAATTTATACTCAACTGATCACCACTATGTAACTGTAGACCAAACCAGAGGTGGTGGTGGTGGTGCTGCAATTTACTATGATCAGGAGTTAAACTGCATCAACGTTATTAAAACTACAGACACATTTAGAGAATACCTGATTTACCTGCACAAGGCATTTGTGCAGGTAAAATACAGTATATATTTTGTCTTCAATCTTCAATCATATTTTGTCAAAGATTAACGTAACAATTGTGACTTCTTCTCTGCAGACAGTACCTTCGCTAGTGTCATTTCCTTTATTGGTTGAACAACTCTTCAAGTAATGTTTCAGTAAGAGGTACTTACCTATGGCAGCAGTGGTGTAGTTGGCAGCAGAGAGTGCTTTTGCTATTGTCACTTCCTCCAGTGGCAGGGAAACTTTACTAGCAATGTGAAGGATCACTCCTATTGTTCCTTCCTCGCCAACTAAACCTATATAACAAACATGAATTTTGTAGGGAAATACAAAAATATGCCATATTATTTGATAATAACTTTGCAATATGATAAATCATAATAATATTAAACTAAATATTTCAGAGTTGTCACTGTATATGATTTCCCATCGTCAGTAACAAGAAGTCTGTTAAGGCTTACTGAGGTTCCCTCTGGCCAACCACAGCCCTTCCCCCAGAGTGCAACCCACAACAGCTGCCCAACTCCCGGCTAGATGAACTAGACAGGTGAAAGAAAACAGTAACCAAACTTTTTATTTCTATCACGATAATTTAACCAGGAATCTTCCCGCTGTGAGTTAACTGTGTTGATCACTGTGCTTAAGGGGGCGTCTCGTTGGCATCTGGGTCCAAAAATGCAAAAATGAAAACTCATTCGATTTCAATCAAACTTTTTTGACAAGTTCTATATGAAAAGTGTTTCATCTGGTCCAAGTTTCAGCATTGTAGCATAAATAGGAAGGGAGAAAAAAAATATTGAAGCAGTTGTGAAAATTATGCAAAAATGGTCAAAATCGATTATCAATCAAAAGTGTCAACTGAAATCATAACTATGACTCTTTGCTATCACAATAGCTTATATTAAACAAATATTATAATTAGTTTAATTGGAAAAAAATTTTAAGGAAAAAAAAAAAAAAAAGGATTTTTTTTCTTTTTTTTTTTAATATTTTTTTTTTTCATTTTTTTTTTTGGGCGATTTGCATCAAACTTACACACCTGACTGTACGTAAGCCTATCTGTAAGGATGCCAATTTTGGAGAAAATTGGTTGATGTCAACCCCAGCCACAGATTTTAGAACCTTAGACTTTATTCATTTCTGTTTTTTTTTCAATTGACACAATCGTTTACAAAACTGATTCCTTTTTTATTCAATTTACATGAAACTTACACAGTATATGTGGAGGGCATGTCTCTACATTGGGGGGCTTTCATTTTTCTCTAAGTTCATTTATTGATTTTATAATAGCAATAAACATGCCATATTTGCAAAAAAATTTTGGGGAAATTTGAACATTTGTATTAGGAAAACTAAAGATGTTTTGGAAATTCTAAATCCCCAAATCCTTTATTATATGCTAATGTGTCAGAAAAGTGTCACAGAATAATTATATCTGAAACGTGTGTTCTGAAGTGTGGACTTGAAAATGTGTAAAAAACGTTCAAAAAAAAAAAAAAAAAAAAACTCCCTTTCTATTTACGCTGCAGTACTGAAACTTGGGACAATTTAAGCACTTTTCATATACAACTAGAAAATTAATATTGGTTGACATTGAACAACTTTCATTATAATAACCAGACGGCCCCTTAATTACTATTCACTGTCTTCTTACACCTCATGCTTCTTTTCATCTAGCAAGAAATAGGTGCCTGTGAGCTAGTTGACTGTTGTGGATCACATCCCAGATATGATATTCATTGTTTAGGAAATCTCCATAGCCATAACAAGTTTCTTGCTCCCAACAATATGGAAATATTATTATTATTATTATTATTATTATTATTATTATTATTATTATTAATAAAACGAGCATACAGTACCAAAGCGATTAGGGTAGCGAGCAGTGAGAAGAGCAGCCCGGCTGGGAGTACAGAGAGATGCCGCCGCCAGGTGGTGCGTCAGACGGACTCCATCCTGAGCCAACCTGGTGAATATCTAACAATATTATCATACTTGTGCCTTAGTAAGCAATTACTGTTTTTGAAGCAGACAGTATCCAGAATATTATCAGTAATACTTATAGTCTAATTCCAAATACAATACAGTACTGTCTATGTTCACTAATCCGACTCACATGGGGCCTATCCCGTCCCATCTTGATTAATATCCTCCAACTTGTTTAGTATTTTAAAAGTTGCAATGCAATCAGTCCTGTCATGTCTGGTGTCAACATATGCCTTTTCCCGATGTTGCAAGTACTGTAATTGTTAGAAATTTTTTTAATTGGTTGTATCATCCATCTAGTTCTCTTTCGTTTCTTTCTTCTTCTTGGCACATATTTTTTAACAAGTTCACTGATGACCTTTGTGAAATTTTCCTACAAAACGTCCATGTCTGGATTTCCTATTAACTTCCTCTAGGATTTATTTTGCAATTCCTCTCTCATTCCATGATAGTCTCCTCAAGGGTAGTGTAGAAAGTCATCATCCTGGACCGTAATTTCTAGAATTCATTCTCGAGTTTCTAGAACTGCATTCCACCTTAGAATATTGTGGCCACATGAAGAAGCAAGCTTCTTCTTTACCTGGATTTGATCGATCATGCCCTCTTCTGATGTGGGTGCAAGATGTAGAATGCTGTTACAGTGAGTGGGCTCGGTTACACACTACAGTATATGAGAAAGGAGCCCAGTACTAGGTCAAGAAATTCCCCCCCCCCCCTTCCACTTGTATTAGGTTCACTCGACCTATTGTTTCATTATTAAAGTTATAAAGTCTCCCCATTATATGAGTTTGGGGTTGAACTGCAACATTTATCATATTGTGCCTATTTATGACTTCCTCTGCTGTTGCTGTGTCAGCCCTGTAGCATACTCCCACTGTTAGTTGGCTACCATTTTGAGCTAGTATATTGCACCATACAGAGTTTGAGGTCCCACTGCGTTCAATTCCTCACTGCTGGTTGCAGTCATGTCCTCTTATATATATAGCATCACACAACCTGCTCTTGTTGTTTTCTCCTTTCTGAAAGGTGGATGGTAATCGGGATTCTCAGCCTCAGTATGGGCACATTCAAATCCCCAATGATCCAAGTGAATGAAATGTTATTACCAAAAATTACATTTTCTATAATCTGCCAACTAGGATTAATTAGTAAGTTCAGTTTAAGCAGAATGATAAAAACAACATTAGTATAGCTGATATACCTGTCTAAATAGCATGATAATACTAAGTATGGCTGATATACCTGTCTAAATAGCATGATAACACTAAATATGGCTGACATACCTGTCAATGTTTGGTGTGTTGATAGTGGTGTTGCCATAACAGCCAAGGTCCCCGATACCCAGATCATCAACTAACATCACAACTATGTTAGGAAACCTCTGTTGATGATGCAATTTTTCTGGTTGCTGATGTTGATCTCGTTCCTGTTGTTGGTATTGCTGTTGAAGCCGTTCACATATGGCAGCTGTCACGCTAACCACCACCAACGCTGCCCACAACGCAGCTCTCATGTCACGTAGTCTCTTATGATGCCAGAAACCATTAATCAATCAATTTGTACATACTGAAAAGCACTGTTCATCAGCAGTGTACAACAACATTCAATTTATTACACTGGAAATTCTCAATGTATGCCTGAACTAATTAATTAGCTTTAAGACTTGCTCTAAAGGCCTTGCACATTAGTGACTTTGCGTGAATATAATTTATACACTAAAATCATTTCACAACCCATTACATCTTATATCTATATCTATCTTACATCAATCTTATAAGTGTTAAAATACAGTAAACCTAAATGTCACAGCATGACTTTTGTGTTACAATGAACATACAGTATATATATTACAAAGCAAATTCCTGACAATAAAAGTGTTAACATACCTTGACGAAGAGTAGCCTTGAAATAAGCAACTATTATTGCGACCACCAGACTTTCTTATGGTGTACTGAGTCTCTGCTCCTGCTTACACATAACTTGATGACTGACAGCTTCTGGCCACATCCAGTTCTATAGGCCAGACAGCAGAATTCACTGTGGCTCACAATGATTAGCCAGAAATACCAAGGCCAAGCCTGCAACATAGCTACTCATTATATAACAATGTAACACCACTATGAATATAACTAAATAATATATGTAGCACTACTACTTATACTGAGTAACACTTCCTATCGGTTGCACTTGGCAACAGTCATTGAACACTGTAATATGAGCTGACATATGATGGTTACACCAGAACCAAAAGTTACACTGCCAACAAGAAAATGCTACACAGGATTAAAAAACGCTGCCACCATCTGCCTTGACCATTGAGACTATATCAAGCAACAAGGCAAGAAACATTGCTTGACATGGAGAGTACTTTCTAAAACTGTCATTAATTATGGGACGGTTGTCAGCCCACTATATCCAAAAGGCTAAGAGGATTCAACAATTGACACAGACGGGAAATTTAACAAAAGTTTATTGAGAACAAAATTATGCTAATCACCACTATAAATCCTACTCTAACACTGGCCAATAATTAAGAAATTTAGACATGGAACAAAACCCTCAGAGATCACACTTTACCTTAAGACCTTTGTCTCTCCCTCCGGTGGATTCACTCTGTCCCTCCCTGGCTGTGCGATGTTCTCTGATCCACTCCTGACCCTGGTGTCCGGCACCCTGTCTCTAAGACTCTACAGGACCAATATATGCAACCCAAAAGGGGGGGAGGGGGAGATTTGCTGTTGCTACCTAGATCGAAAGAGGTCGGGCCACACGTGCACAAACACTCAAGAATTTTCATTAAGCTTGTTTGACATTCACCATACGCTGTTCAAGAGAGGAATTATTAATTACGTGTGTGACTGACCTTTGACCTGGCTAAAAGGGGGAGATCTATGGATGTTTACACATAAGAACCTGGGGTCTAATTCCATTGCAATGTTTGACAAGAGTATCATGAAATATTACATACTTGAAACTAGATGACTAAGATTAACCCAGGAATTTTTAATCAACATACAAGATAATCCAGAGGTCACTGGGCTGACCTCTTGGAGAAGGCTTCCCTGGGTGTGAACTCTGGGGGAGGGGTTATGGGTGTTACAGCTCCCTTTTCCCGGAGTTAAGACAAAATCGGGTGTATGATAATTAAGGCCAATTTTGTCTTATCCTAACTCATCCAAAATACCATAACTAAACCCTAAAAGAAAAAAAATTAGCCAGTGACATATTGATAAAAGTAAGCTAACTAAATTAACATGATGCCAAGTACATTAAACTGTTACACTTCAGTAAGAACAACACATAAATGTACAATGAAAGAAACAAAAGTACAAAAAAACGCATTGGCGAACATACAAGCAATGATATCCTGACATATGATACAATTCCGATTATCATAATATGACAATACAGTATGTCAATGAAAAAAAAAGACAAATCCCGATTGCACCCTAGGCAGTCCAGCAAGACTTACCCCGAAGGCTGGAAGGCCAATACAAAAATCGCCTTAAAGCTAGCATGACATATAAAAAAATAAAAAAATTCCTAATGGAACAGGAAAATTACAAGTAACTAAATATAATGTCAAAATACAAGTAATGACACACACAGGTCCAAACACAGTGACAAATTAACTTAAGAAAGCGTCTGCAACAGTCTGCAAGTCCTTACGAGGAAGAGCAACCAAGGTAGTGAACCGGAACAGATGGTCCACTAGCACCAACACGTAGCGATTACCAGAATGACTACTATGTAAATCAATCAAATCCGCTCCCACTCGATCTAAAGGCTCAAAAATTTCAGGGAACTCTTGTAGTGGCGCCTGTACCTTAGGGGTACCTTTTCGTCGTTGGCAGTTTGCACACGATATAACAAACTTAGTGATATAAGATAACATCCTAGGAAAATAAAATAAAGTTTTTGTTCTCATATAGGTCTTAAAGACCCCAGGGTGACCAGCTATCTTAGATGCATGAGCAAGTTTCACGGCTGATGATCTTAACGTGTCGGGGATGACTAACTGGTAAACCACACGATCTTTCATGTCGTTAACATAATATAGGACACCCTTCTGAAGGTCAAAATGCTGCAGGGGAAAGTTACCTTTCTTCATAGGATATTTACCACCCTCCAAATATTCAATTATTTCCTTCCATCACTGTTCTTTCATTTGAAATTCTCTCATTGTATCACTTGCAATGGTTTCAATGTTGACATTTACGTTAACTGACGCGATGTTCCTACTCAACGTATCTGGCACAACGTGAGATGGTTTTGGCTTATAAAGGATCTGAAAAGAGTGAGCTGACAGCTCATGAGACCAACGGGACATCCGGGGACACTTTGTTTTCTTTTTAAATATATATGTGAGAGCTCTGTGATCTGTGAAAATAACAAAATGCCGTTGGAATAGGTAGGGCTCAAAATAACGAACACTTTCAACCACAGCAAGCGCTTCCTTGTCTGTTGCTGAGTATCGAACCTCCGGTCCCTTCACTTTTCTACTGAAATATGCCACAGGGTGAGGATGGTTCTCTGAATCACGCTGCATTAAGCATCCTCCTATGGCAATACCACTAGCGTCTGTATGCACCTCCCACTCCTTATCAAAGTCAGGCACAGCTAATACTGGGGCGGTAATTAATTGACTTTTGAGCCTAGTATAGGCCTCATCATGCTCTAAGGTCCACATAAATTTATCATTCTTCTTTACAAGGTCAGTTAAAGGCGCTGTTATACTAGCAAATCCCTCAATATGGCGGCGGAAGTATCCGGCTGCTCCCAGAAACCGGCGCACATCCCTTGCTGACCTAGGCCTGGGCATCTCAGCAATGGTGCGGCATGAGTCTGGGTCAGGGCGGATGCCATCTGTGCTCACCTGGAACCCCAGAAATTTGAATTTCTGAGATGCCAGGGTGCACTTGTTGATATTTAATTTGAACCCTACCTTGTCTAACAATGAAAGTGTCTCAGTCAAGTCACGAAGGTGTTTATCAAACGACCTGGAGTAGATAACCACGTCATCCAGGTATGCTAATGAATGAATACCCAGCACAGGGCTGAGGATGAAGTTAATAGCCCTATGAAATGATGAAGGGGCTGTCTTCAGGCCAAAAGGCATGCGCTTAAACTGAAACTGGTGAACCCCATCAGAGAATGCTGTTTTCTCACGGTCCCTAACTGCAACCGGAATGGCCCAGTATGCTGACTTAGCATCCAGAGTGGAGAAATACTTGGCTGCCGTGAACTGATTTATAATTTCCTGAATCCGAGGTAAGGGGTACACATCCCCCTTTGCAATTTCATTAACTTTCCGATAGTCGACACAAAACTGGTAACTACCATCCGGCTTGCGCACCAGCACCACCGGAGACAACCATGGTGAAGTGCTTGGTTCTATAACTCCCTGTCTTAACATCTTCTGACACTCCTCTCTGATAGTTTTCTTAGCCTGTTCCAGGAGCCTCCACTGTCTCGTATACACAGGCCAGTGATCACCTGTTGGAATGGTGTGCTCAATTCTGTCTAACAACCCAATTTGATCGTCGTCCGTTGCAAATAATTTGGGGAACATCCGCAAAACTTCCCGCACCCGTTTCCTCTCTAACTGTGGAATGTGCTGTAAATCTAGTGCTGATATTAATTTAATCAAATTGTTGGTATCGCAAGGTGGCGCAAGCACCGTTGTGCCGTGCTTAGAAGTCTTACTAGTGTCTCTAACAATAAGAGCGCCACATTGCTCAGTGTCAGTAAGTGTTTCCGATGGATCTGATTGAAAGATCGATGTCTCATCTAAGATAATACCCTGAGACACCCGATCACCCACTTTGAAACGGTAGGTCTTGTGCGAGAGATTGACTACAGGTATGAGGGCACCTTTGTCCAGGACAACAATTAAGTGGTGAGGAATTAATAGTTTATCAAACCTGCCAGCCACCAGAAGGGTAGAACCAGGCTGGATATGACAACCCACGGCCACCCTAAGGAACCTAAATGAACGTGGTGAGCAAGTCTGCTTGTCGAAAGCATGGAAAATACACAACTTCTTATTATTGTCTGGAGAAGACTGAAGCAAAAATTTCGCGTAATTGGCATAATGTTTCTGCTTCCGCTGGATGGAAGCCACAACAGGTAGATGGTCAGTCAATGTCACCGGGTATGATGCAGTGCCTAATTTCAACCGGCAGTGTCTCGCCCCTTTCTCAGCAGACAGAGAATATGAGAACCTGTGTAAGAAATCCATGCCAATCAAGACATCACCCGGATAAGCAAGATTCTGAACCACTGTACAAGTGTGAGGGTACGACCCATCATGAACACATATGTCTACTCTCATCCTGCCCACACATGCTCTTCCCCTATCTTCTCCCTCTGTGCCCACACACTTCCTTTCCCTGTCAATGTAACCAAAAGGTTGTATCCAGAATGAAAATTTGTCATCTGTACACATGTTTTGAAAATCAATATGGTATCTGAATTCACTATTATTTAAATAAATGCTAAAGTCTATGGACTTGAAGCTGAATATTTCACATCCCGAGACTTCGTGAACGAGGGGCACTAGGCTGGCCCCATCTTCTTTGTGACGCTCCTGATAAAAATCACCATTAGTCAAACAAAGCATAACGAGGCTAACCCCAAACATCTGGCCTTCAACCTCGACGCAGACATTCCCTCACAGATATATATATGGCTTCTAAAAACACTATTATAAGCCTTTTATGGGGTTACTGAAATGCATATGTTGCCCAATCACCAACTGAGTGTATTTAGTATTTGCTTTTACCTAAGATAAGAATTAAGGAAATATCAGAAGGCCTATTGGCCCATATGAGACAGCTCCTATTTACATACATTCAATGCAATTATTGATTCAAACAATTTTCCCACAATAAACATTAAGCTAAATGGCTGATAGTTCACAGCAAATGATCTGTCTCCCTTCCTAAAAAATCAGTACCACACTTGTAACCCTCCATGATTCTGGTACTCTGCTCGACTCTAATGATTACTGATTATGCAAGATTAGAGCTCAATGCTCTTCTTTACCTTCTTGAAGCACCCTGGCAAACACATTGGCCAGCCCTGGAGACTTGTTTTGCTTTTATTTTTCTATTTGTTTAATAACTCCCTCCCTAGTTGATCAGACCAGCAACCAGGATGTCTGGTCAGAGACCAGGCCACAGGGACATTGATCCTTGAAATCTCCAACAGGTAGTCAACAGGTAGGTAGTCTGGTAACCGCTAAACTAGTCAACCTGTCCTCTTCACCACCAATATAGAGTTCTTAGGCTGAAGGCATAATGTTCCTTCTTTGATAAATACAGACAAAATATTGATTTATAATACTGTACTGTACTACTACAGTAATTTATTTGTCATTATCAGTTATCTGATCTGTCTCAGTTTTTAATGGCCCTGTCTTTTCCCTATACTTTGTTTAATATAACTGAAAAGTCCTTTAGGATTTCTCTTTGCCTGCCCTGCTTTATGTACTTCATAGTTTCTTTTTGCTTTCCTTATTTTTTTTAACATTTTTACCCATGTTGACAAACTTGTCCTAGATTAACTTTCCCATTCTTAATCCTTTTGTACGAGGCTTTCGTTTTACACATAAGATTTTTAGACCAATGGTATGTATCTATCTGGGGACGTATTGCAGCCTCCCCACAGCACTCATTCTCCAAAGTGGCAAATGAATTAAGAGATCTTTACAAAAGCTGTACAGTAGAAGGCTATGCCAGAGTCTACTCAAGTTCCTTTACCTTCGAGACACTCCAAGGTGAGGACTTACTGAAGTTGCCCACTTCCTCTTATGGGCAAACACACTGCTTCATCTACCAAAGTTCCTCATGCAGAAAATCAATCTCAGTCCTCAGAGTCCCATACATTGCACTAAATCCCCATAATACTTTCTGTTATTGTTAGCTTAGAGAGCACCATACCAAACCTTCCAGCACAAGTTGACTCACCTTAAGTGTAAGGAAACTGACCAAAACATCTTGTAGTGCTCAGAAATTTAACTTAGATCTGTTCAATTGTGAGTCAACTGTGCCGAGCATTACATTATAGGTTACAGGTATAGGAAGGAATGCTAGATCTACTTGCAGTTAGCCCCTTTACCACTGATTCACTTAAAATATCTTTTCAGTACCCATCTTTTGCATGAATTTATTTTGAAAATGTACGTTTAATAATTACATAACTTGCTACAAAATTTATCAGAATCTACATAAATGAACCTCAGGAAGATACACACACAAAAATATCAATAAACAGATTCAAGTACTACTTCTAATAATTCATTATCATATAAAATCTCAATATCAAATTAAATGATAAAAAGAGAGTTACTCACTGCAATTTGGCAAAGTAGCAAGATCATGTTCAGGAGGGAGGGGTTCTGGCATCATCTCATCCAGTCTTGCTGCACAAATCTTGTCGGTATTCAGAGCATTGATTACAGCTTTGGGGCTTGACATTATTGAAGCGTATACAAAGATGGTTCTGAAAATTCATAATGTTAAGTTATAACCAATTCTACTATTTTCATTTGTAAATTTTATTAAAAATGTCTTCAAGCTGCAAAATCTAAACATTATCTAGTCTTTTTAGAACCCTCATTCCATTATTAGAACTACTTCACATACCGTACCAGTTATTAATCAACCTGTCCTCTTACAAAGAACGTCTTTTTCACTCGTATGCATTACTAAGGCCAAAAATCGTTGGACTAGAAAATGGAAGTGGCTCATGAAAGTGACATACTATCCCATTTTCTGTTTTGGGTTCTCTGGCTCAGTCTGTTAGGTTAGAAGAGGACACATTAAATTAACCGTTTTCTTGACATTGTGAAACCTTAGGAGGACGGGCTGAAGTAACACATATTCCCATCACTTTCCAATCATTTCTTATCAATCCTTATTAACTAACCACAAATATCTTTGAGAACTCATTCATGTTAACATACTGGATTTTAGGTTTGTATGCTTCAACCCATGTTAATATTGCACTCTCAGAGGTCAGGATTGCAAGGAGCATACTCTCACAAATCTTTTCTCACATCCATGGTAACATTTTGGCCCAGAATGGCACTCATCAAAACTGCAGAATTTCAACAGCTTGAAAAAGTACTTGGTATCACTTGTTTTTCTGGTAATATTTGAATCTTTTCAAAGGTTAGACCATGGAAATGCATGTATCCCAAAACTATGTTCAGTATAAAATAAATATCTATAACTAAATATAAATATCTATAGCTGTGTATGAATACAATACAGTATTACCAATTATATACCAACAAAATAGTTTAAATAGCAACCAAACCTTAATTCAGTCTCCGTGGTGTAGTGGTAAGACACTCGCCTGGCGTTCCGCGAGCGCTATGTCATGGGTTCGTATCCTGGCCGGGGAGGATTTACTAGGCGCAATTCCTTAACTGTAGCCTCTGTTTAACGCAACAGTAAAATGTGTACTTGGATGAAAAAACGATTCTTCGCGGCGGGGATCGTATTCCAGGGACCTGCCCGAAACGCTACGCGTACTAGTGGCTGTACAAGAATGTAACAACTCTTGTATATATATATATAAAAAAAAAAAAAAAAAAAAAAAAAAAAAAATTAACCTAACAAAAGAGGGTTTCACAGCAAAACATGTGCTATTTTAAATAAAGTATGAGTAATACATTTACTATCCGAGCCTGCAGGATCGAGCTGTTAGCTAATGGACCCCACCTTTATAACTATTAGTCTTCTAATACACTGATTCCTAACCAATTTTCCTCTATCACATCTGCAACATAATGTATATTTCTAACTCAAACACACACATGTTCAATTATGAAATTAATACCAATGCCCATAAATCATGAATATTATCAATATTATGGGTTATTATAAAAATATTCAGTACTGAATCATAAGAAGTTATAATATTTTGACAATCATTCTGACTATCATTCCTGCTGAGCTAAATTTATTCTGCCAAGACTTCCGACAAATGGACGCATCATCCTTACAAGCAAACACCACGACGCACCTTGTTTGTTCAAAATAACTTTTCTTTGTCTCCTACATATTCTCCAGGTACATGTTGTTAATACGAGAAAAGTTATATTTAACAAATTAACAAACGATGCTGATTATACAGTATATTCAAAATCTCACACAAATGGCAAAATAGCGATGCTCAAACTTTTAAATTTGTCAAACTTGATAAGGACAAACTACAGTTAATACAAATACAGTACTGGGTAATTGGTACCAGGTATCATAAGGAATTAGTATCTATTTTATCCAACACAATTTCACCTGTAACAGGGTAAAGTGTACCCAACTACTAGGCTGAACCTTGACTACCTCTTGGGTCATTATCACGCCTAGGCAATGAACTACCATACCTGTACAGCTGTTATCAAGCCAGGCCAGTGAACTACCTCCTGGGTCGTTATCAGGCCAGACCAGTGAACTACCTCTTGGGTCGTTATCAAGCCAGACCAGTAAACTACCTCCTGGGTCGTTATCAAGCCAGACCAGTGAACTACCTCCGGAGTCGTTATCAAGCCAGGCCAGTGAACTACCTCTTGGGTCATTATCAAGCCAGGCCAATGAACTACCTCTAGGGGTCATTATCAAGCCAGGCCAGTGAACTACCTCTTGGGTCGTTATCAAGCCAGGCCAGTGAACTACCTCCTGGGTTGTTATCAAGCCAGACCAGTGAACTACCTCTTGGGTCGTTATCAAGCCAGACCAGTGAACTACCTCATGGGTCGTTATCAAGCCAGGCCAGTGAACTACCTCTTGGGTCGTTATCAAGCCAGACCAGTGAACTACCTCCTGGGTTGTTATCAAGCCAGCCCAATGAACTACCTCTAGGGTTCGTTATCAAGCCAGGCCAGTGAACTACCTCTTGGGTCGTTATCAAGCCAGGCCAGTGAACTACCTCTTGGGGTCGTTATCAAGCCAGGCCAGTGAACTACCTCTTGGGGTCGTTATCAAGCCAGGCCAGTAAACTACCTCTTGGGGTCGTTATCAAGCCAGGCCAGTGAACTACCTCTTGGGGTCGTTATCAAGCCAGGCCAGTGAACTACTTCTTGGGGTTGTTATCAAGCCAGGCCAATGAACTACCTCTAGGGGTCGTTATCAAGCCAGGCCAATGAACTACCTCTAGGGGTCGTTATCAAGCCAGGCCAATGAACTACCTCTAGGGATCGTTATCAAGCCAGGCCAGTGAACTACCTCCTGGGTCATTATCAAGCCAGGCCAATGAACTACCTCTAGGGGTCGTTATCAAGCTAGGCCAGTGAACTACCTCTTGGATCGTTATCAAGCCAGGCCAGTGAACTACCTCTTGGGTCGTTATCAAGCCAGGCCAGTGAACTACCTCTTGGGTCGTTATTAAGGTTAGTGAACTACCTCTTAGGTCATTATCAAGCCAGGCCAGTGAACTACCTCTTGGGTCGTACTGAAGAGTGGTCAAACTGTACCTGTTCCGAGTGTGAGGTGAGGATGGGAGACGCTTGAGGAGGGACTGGTTGTGGGAAGTGGCACTCGCAGCCTTGACCAGGGTGGCGAGGGCTGCTGGCACCAGTGACACTCTGGCTGGCACTCCAGACATTAGGTAACATAAGGCTGTCTCCCAGCCCCCCTAACACACACATTCCAAAATGATCCGCAGAATCACCACTCTGACGTCACAATGACGTCACACACACACACACCTTATATAGCGTATCTGAGGTCACACGCGTTAGTAGTGATATATACAAAATGTAAGGTAAGGTAAATGTTAGGTAAGTTAAGGTTAGGTAAGTATAGGTTAGGTTAGAATAGATTCGGTTAGATTAGGTTAGGAAAGAATATGTTTGTTTACATCTTACTAATGACGTTGTGCTATATAACTTTTGGCGCTTTTTGAACCCCTTCCCAGAGTGTTGTTCTAAATCAGCCATACAGGATGCTACTATGGAAACTTCCAACCCAAACTTATGAAAACATTTATATCAAATTGTTAAGATCCAATAAACTTAGATAGTACTTTATTTCTGATCTTTATTGATTAAAATTTAGCTAAATCCTAGTGTATTACATTATATTAAGAATTATATCCGTGTATTACTCTCTATGTGGAATCAGCTGTTTCCTTCACATGTACCCAGATTAGCGATAAGTTTCACTCGTTTTAAACATTTCTTTTATTAAAAGTAAATCATATTTTTGTACGCAGATCATTATTTATTCATGGCCGAAACGTTATACATAATTAGTGGCTATATAAAGTATACAAGTACCTTGGTTAGTTCCTGTTGTGGGAGGCAGTATGCCTGTTAGACTTACCAAGGCCTCATTAGGTCAACTATAGTGATCTACCTGTTGATTGAAAGTCGAAAGGCGGGACTAAAGAACCGGAGCTCAACCCTCCTCGCAAGTACAACTAGGTGAGTACTAATCTAGTTTGAACAACTATGTTTGATCAGGAATCTATACACGAGCTGATTGACAGTTGAGAGGCGGGACCAAAGAGCTGAAGCTCAACTCCCGTAAGCACAACTAGGTGAGAACTGACCTTCCCCAGAATGCAATTATCAACAGCTGTCTAACTCAACCCGTCCTCGACTCAAGTCCATTACATCCAGCGGTCGACCCCACTAACGCATTCATAAATTTTGACACATGCTGTTCAGTCAAAATAGAAATCTTCTCATATGTAAAATAATATTATAATATATTAGCATATTGTGCATATATATGCATAGGTTAGGTTAGGTGTTTAGGTTCTGTTGGCGATTATTTGTATTTGTAGTACGTGGGTGAAGCATTTACAGCGTTGTGGTTCGAACAAAAATCGTCAGTGAAGCACTTGTTCCGGAAGTGTTCGAACGTCAGCAGTTGTGAGTCTTGTGTAAACCGTTTTTCATTCATAAAAAATGGGGTTTGGCGGGTGCATGGAATCACTTTTGGGTCTTTGTTTGGAGGACGGGCTGGTCTAACTCCCGATTATCTAGAGTTACTTCTTTCTGACAGCCCGTCCTCCAAACAAAGATCCAAAAGTGATTCCATGCACCCGCCAAACCCCATTTTTTATGAATGAAAAACGGTTTACACACGACTCACAACTGCTGACGTTCGAACACTTCCGGAACAAGTGCTTCACTGACGATTTTTGTTCGAACCACAACGCTGTAAATGCTTCACCCACGTGCTACAAATACAAATAATCGCCAACAGAACCTAAACACCTAACCTAACCTAACCTATGCCTATATATACACAATATGCTAATATATTATAATATTAATTTATACTTGAGAAAATTCCCGTTTTGAATGAACAGCATGTTAAAATTTATGAATGCGTCTGTGGGGTTGACCGCTGGATGTAATGGACGTGAGTCGAGGACGGGTTGCTTTCTGGACAGGTTCATCAGATGCAAGAAAATGTGCCCAACTGTTGGGGATCGAACCGCGGATTCCTTGGTTGTGACCAGCAGAGAATGTAGACCCAACATGATCCACTAAGTAACTTTATTGCAACTGATCCTTTATAAATATATTATTACTAAAATATTATTATTATTTATAATATTCTCTCTCTATAGAGAAAGAGAGAGATGTATTTACTCCTCTGTCCTGTACTTTGGTACTGGTATGTTTATGAAATAATAAATGTTTACTCTGCTCTTGATTCGTGAGCTGCTGTTATTTGTAACATTAACCAGGGGATCACACCATATGGGTTGCTCTGGTAAAAACATATTTAAGGTTCACCTTGACTGATAACATATTATCTAATCTGACGATGCTCAAGTTGAACAAAGATTAGAACAAATTCCGTTGACAGTAATAGGCTTGTTATCCAATAAAATTTATTGAAAACTTGGTTTGTTGGGGACAGGAACCTGTGTATATAATAATTCATTTTGTAGAGTACCCCCCAAACTACTGCCCCTCCCCAGGATGCAGCCCCCACAACATCTGCCCAACTTTAGTATACTTATTTACATTTCCTTGTAGATGATCAGGGACATTAGGTGAAAGGAAAAGAATTTCGGATTTTAAGTCGAGAACGAAGCCAACTGTACTACGCGACCCTGTCTAAATTGACAATTTTAAAGGCTACTAAAAATGTTAGACTTGAGCTAACAGATCATACTGTACTCACCAACTGAAATCTATTTAATATTTTCGAGTCATAGTATTTTATTTCAAGATTTCAGGTAAAAACCAAAAACGTATTTTAATTTGTTGAATACCTCCTTAAATTTATTGATCACCCTTATACTCATTAGGTTTTAGAACCATACTGTCATGTCTTAAAGATTGCATTGTTAAGTGCAGTCCTTGTATTCCGTTGCTCCATTTGTACACATCCAAGAAATTGGTTTTGAATTGTAGGTAGTGCAGGATTGAGCAACTGTGCAGGAAACTAAGTAGCTGGTGGTGGTCACCACGGGCTCTCTCCGGCAGGTGTCTCCATCGTGTGTGTGGAGACCCTCCTGGCTCACGCCTGGCATCACGCCATCTATGTTTGTGGGGGGGACCTTTTCCCATGGGTGACGTGACTGAATTTCTAATACGTTCACACGAGCAGAGTTATGCCATCCCGGGAGAGGGCGCCGCGGAGCAGTTGACCTTACTGACAGCCCAAGCGCCCTTCACCGTTGGATGGTTTGCTGGACGAAAGGTTACCAGGACGAAAGAAGAGTTCCAAGATGGGCACCTCACAAGGAAAAATTAGTGGACGCAAGTAAATATGACAGAAATGCATTGGGCAGACGGCATCTGTCAAAGATGTCCGCTCACTCATCAACGTCTTTTTTTTTTTTGCAGGGATATTCGTGCGCGGGCCCTAAGCCTCTGGCTGGCCCACTAAGTGTTGCTTGTTTCTGTTTTACTTGGGCGGAGTATGAGTATTTATTACTCGTATGGTCGCTTCAGTAAAATTTTGCCATATGTGTTTAACAACTTCTTCTGCTCTGTTGAATCTAAGTTGAAATCTTAATGGGTTTGTAACTGTGCACTGTGTTAGATAATGTTCCAGTGGTCTGTCGGGCATTTCTCCACAGTGCTGACATTTCCTCTCATCTTCCGGAACCTGTAAGCCTAATCAACGTCTTTGAAGCTCTTCGGTAACTTTTTCGAGTAAGAAAGCGTATGGAATTAATCTTCAAGTGTGTGGTCTGGTCAACATACTTTAGCCACGTTATTGTGACTCATCGCCTGTATATAAGGTGAGGCTAACTGATGACGGGTGTCGAGGCGGCCTCTTTGTCCAACCATCATGCAAATATCAACGTCATATACATACACGCACATATGACCATACATAGCCTCATCTCCTGCCTGCCTTTTCATCGGACATTTAGATGTATTTATGCAATTTACTTATGTGTTTGTGTGTGTGTATGCTAAGACGTACAGTTGTAAAGTGGTGCTTGTGTGGGTTGAGTTTTAAAGCTTAGTACCCGCCACTCAGTTAAATGGTGTTGATAGGCTTTATAATTTCTTGCTTTTACGGCGGGGTTCTTGGATGGAGTCCGCCGCCACTGTTGAAACCTCGAGAGAACAGAGCGGCTTCTCCTCTTTATTCATTCTATTTTCTTACCCTCCCTTACCCTGAAGAAATATATTTTAATATCTTTGTCTGCTCTGAGCGTTCAGTTTTCAAGTGTATTCCCACGTAAAACCTTCCTGACTTCCTTTATCAAATATTAACATGCTTCAAAATAGATTTTTTAAACTACAATTGGACTCGGAATGATTCACACTCTTCACCAAAGTAGAGAAAAACAGAATTACAAATACTGTAGAATATTACCCAGATTACTACTATTGAGCCCGATGTCCCATCTTAATAGGACCATCTATAGGACCGATCCTGACCAGCCTATGACCGTCCTGTATTCTGGACCATTCACCTTGCAAAGTTGGGCGAGGTTAGCCCTAACCATTTGTCCTCTGTCCTTGGACAGAAGACAGCAGATGGACAGACACAGACAAGCTTTATTATAGATATGATAAATGGATTGTGGAATGATCGAGGAATAGGCCGAGTTGGGGTAATATATATGTGTTGGTGATTGATTTATGAAGATTAAGCCACCCAAGAGGTGACACGGGCATGAATATCCCGTAAAATATATATTGGTAATTCCTACCTAATTATTAAGTGACTGACGCCACAGTTTCTGCGAGTTATAACTAATAATAATACACAAAGAAATCATATTAACGTGATATATCAAGGAGAAAATCAATTGGAGCCGTGTGAATGATTCGAACCTGCACCGTGGGTACGCCCCAGCACACGCCTTAAACCACTGAATAACGATATGTTATAAGTAATGTAACCTGGGCTGCAAGTGATTCCACAAGGGGTCTCGAGGCATCGGGCTAATACTATATCAGGTTTTTACACATTACCCGCATACACTCTTGTGAGGTATAGGAGTGCTTTCCCCTAACGCTCCCTTCACACATTGGCTTGTAGGGAGCGTGGCTCTAATGGATTGTCTCAGTAATAATAATAATGTAATATAATACACATGGTTACAAATGCTTAATTTAGTACTCGCGCTTTTAATCACAAAATGCAACCAGTAATTACTGAGTGATCAATGACAAG